TCCACAGTAAATACAATTCTCAAACCAGTTAATTTTTTTCAAAATAAATTCACCATATTAGTAATCATCCCTCTGCTGTTGTGTTAACTACGCCCACTCCAGTTCTAAGGGTTAAGTTTTTAGTTTTACTGGTGTGGATGCTACTGATATGATGTAGTTTGTAGCTAAAAAGAAGCCTAGTCCTTGTGTTTTGGGCCCTATTGTTATGCATCACCCCAAATCTACTCTCTGTGTTTATCCATTTGTTACCAACCTAAACACTCCTTGGCTTCTGGTCTTCGATCTGCAGAGATGAGGTCTGTTACTGTCACAGCTGTTAACAAAAATCTCATCTAGACCCTAAAGTTCCTAATAAATTGTATCCTATGTCCAATTCACATCTGCAACATTTCTGGAATGGGTGGCTGGGGTTTGAGTGAAGTGTTGTCTTGCTTCTAATGAGCTGTTTGAACCTTTCCACTCTGCTTTTAAACAAAATACTGAGGCAGCCCTGGTCAAACTAGATGATGACTTGCTGATTGTTACCGATTTGGGTTTTATAATATCTTTCTCCTTTTGGACTTAAGTACAGCTTTTGATACTGCCAGTTACGGCATCTTACAGAGTGTACATAAAATGTAATTATTTACTATTTACTTTTGTTGGTTTTGGTTTATAGGACCCAATTCTCAGATTTTGACTTTTCAATCTGCTGTTGTCCTAGTTACTCAGGGTGTTCCACAGTATGTTGGGACACATACAATTTAGCATGTACAGTATGTTTTTTATTGTTACATGATTCAACATCATGAGTTTGGGTTTCAGTGCTATGGCATTTGGATTTCCTTCAAACTAAATGTTATACCACTATCCAAAGCTTCTGCCCATTACAGTTGGCTTTTCTTATCTTAATGTATAATTTGAAGCAGAGCTTTAAGTTAAAATATGTGACTGGAGTCATGCTTTTATTGGCTCCCAACAACTATGCAAGGTTAAAGATTTCAGTGCTGTTGATGCTGCTTTAATGAAACTCTTGTCTGAAGTTATACACCTTGTTGGTGCTTTTGACTCTGTTGTCATTTTAAGCACACGTTAGAAACGTCATAATGGGTGAAAACATTTCTTCCTTCTGCCAGTTGTACATCCCTTGCTATTCTGGTTACTCAAAGGTTTGAGTGCCTTTGTTTGTAATGTGAATATGTAGGTACATACTGTTCTTAGGTGCCCAGTAGGCCTCCGTGTGTCATGAATACTGCATCTCATGTACAGTACAAACTAGATATTCTCTGCATCTGCATATAACCTGTCCTGTGTTAATTACATTGGTTCCATTGTGAACTGTAGAGTAGAATTTAGGGTTTTCCTTCTTTAAATATATGTAACTGAATTGTCTGCTTCCAGGCTACCATTATGATTTATTGAATATATAAAATATTAAATAGTATTTTCCATAATTTAATCTGAGTTTATATCCTCTTATGCAACCTAAGACCAAGCTGTCTATAATGGATTGTGGAACTCATTGCTCTGATTCACCAGACTGTAATTATGGATCATTTTAGTTAACTGTTCTTAGCTGTATTTTTACTAAAGCTTTTAATGTACAGTTGGTTTATCATTGTTTTTATTTTTTGCTTACTGTTATTTTATGTTTATTGGTGTTCAGCACTTTCTTTCTTAATACAGACTAAAATTTTCTAAAAAATACTGTATCAGTTAAAAGCTTTATTTTTTATCTCTGTATGTATGAGCTTAGCTTGTTCAGTAGCTGCAGGGTTTTTATTCACTCAGAGTGATATGTAGAAAAACTGGAGCGTACAAAATGCATTCATATATTGCGTAACCCAACACTACAGTGAGAACTGCAGTGAGATGTAGTGAATTGCAGCCCTTTACAAATTAAAGCAAAAGGCAATGGATCTCTATACTGAACATTCGGTAGCTTGATATTAAGAAGAAACTTTGCTTTAAAAGGGACATCTGGTGTTATACAAAATCTGTAGTTCAGAATGTTTTATGTCATTATATAATAACTGACACTCTTGCGTTATGGACATATATTAAAGGAATAAATCTCTTCTTAGTGCAGCCTCCTGAGCCACATAACAATGTCTGCTGCATGTCAGTCCTTGTACTGAGGCTGCTGACACATCCAATACTGCATCATTGGACACATTAAAAGGTCCATGTGGAAATACCATCTTTCAGCTGTGAACAGCATTGATTAGAAGTGGTCTCTTCATTCACTTGGCAGTAATATTTAGCATTCAGTATTCTAATTTTAATTTTTGGATTTTCCGTCCTTCATTGTAAGTACATTATAGCTCCCTCAACCTAGGAGGTAGGTATTTGTACAGCAAGTGTCTAGTACCATGTTTAATATATTGGTAGTTTAGTAATTGATTTTATTGCCACCTAGCGAGTTAAGGCTGTGTAACAATGTGGGAGGGGGAGGAGCTGCCGCAAAC